ACACACCCGCGCGCACACAGACACACACACACAGACACACACACACAGACACACACACACACACACACCCGCGCGCACACACACCCGCGCGCACACACACCCGCACGCACACAGACATACACACACACACACACACACACACACCCGCGCGCACACACACCCGCGCGCACACATACCCGCACGCACACAGACATACACACACACACACACACACACACACCCGCGCGCACACACACCCGGGCGCACACAGACACGAGCACACACACACACACACGTGCGCGCGCACACACACAGACGAGTGCGCGCGCGAATACACACACACACACACACACAACCTCGCACACACACACACAAACTGTCGTGACACCCTCACCCACCCCAGCCGCTCAAACTACCAAAACACCCCACAGATCGCAATGTACAAAGGGTCTGAATATCGTACGTAACGGTCCTATGGGCCCTCGAGGCTTGCATGGATGACTGGAGGAGAATCCGTACGGACCATCCAGTACGTGAGGCATAAATAGAAGTGATGGTTTAGGTGAGGAATAGTGGCGAGGTTATCAGTGTAGAGGGTGGGAAGAGCACGGACGGTTCCATCGCTGAGGCCTTCATAATCTTTCGCAGTAGGGAAGAATTCAAAGATGACGCAATACAATTCCATGTGGTTGTATTGTCCACACACCACGCTGAAAAGAAGGATGTTGAGGAAGAAGGTGGGTTGGGAGGACCTAGTGGTGGGATAAGGAGTAACTTCACAAAGAAGACGGGCAGCGTGATGTTGGTAAAAGGAGGGGGCGAAAATGTGCGAGTCGCCGAGGAACTCGACATGGGGAAGCTGAGAAAATGAGAGAAAGTCAAAAGGGCGGTACAAAAGGGGACGATGACAAAGACCCAAGGTGTGAGGAGGGAGGGAGACAAATTGTGCTGCAAGCGGCGGAGATGGGAAAAAGCGAGCGGGAATGGCGATGGTGGTGCGACGGTTCAAGGCCATCACAATGACTAACTGCGTCCATAGGCAGATCGAGAATCCTTGCCGAATACTTTGGGCCGACTTTTCGTTGAGAGACAGATGGTTGTTCTGATGCGACCACGTGACACCGGCTGAAAGATGTTTCCGACTTGGAGGGATTCTATAAACGCCGCCAATCTCTCTGACTGCTCGCTCCACTCCTGTTCTTCCTCCGTCGTGGACTCTACTCCGTCTTCTTTGTCGTCGCCCACGTTCGACCGCACCGGTCCAGACTCGTCATCCGAGGGAACTTCGTGATGTCGCAGATCCGTGCTCGAAAATTATATTCCCTCGGCGTGGATGACATTGGAATCAAGATATCTCCAGGTTGGGCTGTGGGTGGATTAAGATCATCCGTGAATAGGTCCTTCTGTGAGCACCACATTCACGAATCCGTCGGGGACAACGATCGTTCCAAGCCTTGCTAGGAGTACGAGTTTCAACCCCGCGAGATTATGTTACGAGGCAGATCGTCCAAGATCTACATAGGTAAAAAAAAAAATATTTTTGACAATGCTTGATCAACTGCCACGTATCACTTCCCTGAACACAAGACCGATCAGCAACTCCTATCTCCCACGCTTGGACAATAACAAGTGTTAATTTGTCGCCAACGAGGCTTTTCCTTATGGAACTTTGTGCACGCAATGGGCTATGACAAAGGGAAGGCAACACCTAGCCACATAGAAGGGATGGATCCACAACCGATAGTGCTCGATGGGACTCTGCCGAAAGGAGGAATAAGGCGAGCAAAGATCTCCAATGAAAGTGATAAGTCGGCTTTGCTGGCCCACAAAACAGGAAGATGAGGAGGGAAGATGAAGGTTGGGGGGGAAACGCTGGAAAAAAAAGCAAAAAA